AGGTCACATTTAAAATGTAATGTGAACGTTCACACAAAAAGATCGGATTTTTTCAAAAAATCAGAACTGAGCATTAAGACCTGCAGTGTGAACATTTCCTTAGATTCACACCAGGACACACTGCCCACTCACAGCAGGAAAAGAAAGAATTGTGTTGCTCCTGACCAACAATAATCTTTAAGGTGTAATCACTTTTACTTCCTTCACTTCAGACATCAAGAGCAGAGCACAAAGTTTCTCTTTAACTTACTGTGATCGGACACAAATGTTGCACGTTCAGAGTGCAAAATAACAACTGAGAAAGTAAAATACTCACCTGACAAAGGTCCTCTGCCACACTAAGCATTCCTTGCCTGTACAAGTGCTCCACAATGGATTCACTCAGGTATTTCTGTCTCTCTGGTGTGTCCCACACTGTTTCTGCCACCACAGCACTGATCTCTGCGTCMAAGTTCTACAGGAAAACATCCCGGAAGTAAAGGACATGTCATCATTTATCTGTTAAAGACTCTTGCTCTCTGTCCTTACCCGGTCAATGGCTTTGCCCACTTTTGACACACTGCCATGGATGTCTTTATGTCGAGAAGCAAGCATCTGAACTGTTTCTTTGATATTCTTACAACACTGGGCCATAGTTTGAGACAGGACTGATAAGTCTGCATCTTGTACTCCTGGAACACAGAACAAGAGAAACACTAAGAATGAATTTCCTCAGAAATACTGAACATGTGTCTGTTAAATTCATAAACCAGGGGTGGGCAGTCCTGGTTCTCGAGGGCTACAGCCCTGCATGTTTTACRTTTTTCCTGCTCCAACACACCTGATTCAGTCAGTGAATTACCTCTTCCAAGTTCTGCAGAGGCCTGTTAATCACCCATTCATTCAAATCAGGTGTGTTGGAGCAGAGAAACAAGTAAAACATGCAGGGCTGTGGACCACGAGGACCAGGATTATCCAGCACTGGGGCCTCATGTATAAAAGGTGCGTACGCATAAAAAAGTTGCGTGAGCCAGGTTCTACGCCCACGTTGGGATGTATCAAAACCAACGTTGTGTGAAAAGTGTGTGTAAATAAACGCACACTTTTCACCTGCTGTGAGAATGTGCGGCAGAGATGCCAAGTTTTTCATTCGACAATTTTAACCCACAAAATCATGAATCTGACCTGAATCCACAGAAATTTGACTCTGTTCTGTTTTCTGGCTGTAAGGAGTGTCTGAACAAGTTGTTAGATTTTATTTTAATTTGAGTTTTCATTGTTTAAACTCGAATGATCATGAAACTGAACCCCGGGACTGAAAATCATTTAACCTCAGACAAGAAAATAGATCAGCCTAAAACTGATCAAAAGAACCTCAGTCCAGTCTGTAAACTGTAATGTTTTTATATTTCTGTCACGAGTTGGAAACACACGCAAAGCGCATGGACTGCAGCGTGCACACAGCTGAGGAGKATAAAATGTGTGAATTGTCTGAGAAATATTTTAATTCTCACTGAGAAAAAAAACTTRAACTASGGTTGGGCAATATTGGCAAAAAAATTAATCARGATTAATTGTGGTATTTAYCCGATAACGATTAATTTGACGATAAATCCCCTGGAGTCCATGGACACCCTTATTTCGTAGTCACATGACCAATTAGTGGGAAAGATTTGCTCTTTATAAAAAATTGTTCCAAACTATGTGAAAATAACAGATTTCAGTCTATACATCAATTGTGTTAATAGATAAATTACAGAACTTTATTTTTAATGTTCGTCATATTTGAAGCAGAGAGGAGCACCAAGCGGWCTGACCGGAGAAATCCTCAGTCAGTCTGCCTGGTGGCATTAATCATATTAATCATCAAGTGCCAAAAAGTAAATCGATTAATGTTTTTCTGACGATTAATTGCACARGATACGATTATGCCCAAGCCTATTGTCAACTCAGCAGATTAATTCAGAACAGCTCAGCTGTGATGATTCCTCAGCTCCACAAGACACAGACAATAGATTTGTTGTTGTGTAAAGTTGTGCGTAATTTATGGATCAATGTCAGCTGTTCTGCAGGGTGATATCATCACAAGAAGAATTGAGGATAATGTGCTGTTTTGTTTGTTTTTATTTGTTTTTTTGTATCACACTGAACAAATTACAATCAGGTATTTTARTGTAGTTCTGAGTCGAGCCATGKAGCTGAATGAGAGACTTCYTGATTCTAAAATATAAATCACACCGCGGCAGAAACGCTGCGACTCGTTTCTTCACATCAACTATTTAATAAATATGTTTCTAAGTTTTACCAAACTCATAAGTTCCTCTGTGTTTACAGCCATTTATTAAAGACGTGTAAAGGTGGAAATGTCTGTCAGCCTCATGCTGAAGACAGCAGCTTCACACGCATGTACACACCAACACACACACACACCTTTGCGAATGACAAACACATTTTTACACTCCACTACTTATTTAGACAGTTTTCTCACTGATTCTCCATTTAATGTATAATCTTCCTGCAACTAAAAATCATTTCTGATCCCACAGAGAGGACAATCTGAGGAGAATCTCACACYCTGGACACGTTTTCATCTATTTTACAGATTTAAATGGAGGRGTGTCAGGGGAGGGGTCTCAGGTGTGCTCAGTTCCACGTTCATTGGGATGTATAAAGGTACACAGGAACCTGCGTGTGCACCGTTTTATACATCTGAATTTTGTTGTGCGGAGAACTTTTCTAAATTTGTCCGTACGTCAACTTTTAGTGCGAAAYCTGRGKAATCCTTCATGCATGAGGGCCCTGGTGCATAAAATGTGTGGTGTCCATGTTCAGTTAAAGAACAAGTAAAAACATGAAATTGAATGGGAAGGACTCATCTGTGGATGACTACCAACTTGTACAAACTATTTTAAAATCAGACTTGAAGACTTCACTCAAGATTATTTTTGTGAAGTGATCTTAAAAAAAAAAGATCCAACACGGAGCCACAGTGACATGACATTTTCTATCCTAAATATTATGAGTTACAACACAGACTGTGTCCCCTGTCTCACAGACGGACAGTAGAGACAATCTAAGGAACAAAGGGTTTATATGTTTATGGTACTMGGGTGACAAGCTGCAACAGAGACAAAGGAGTCACCTGTGATCTTGACCTTTGACCCCATGACCTTTAAATCAATATGGATCATCTTTTACTTTTACTTGGGCAGCACGACAGCTCAGTGGTTAGCACCGACGCCTCACAGCAAGAAGGTCCTGGGTTCGATCCCCGGTTCGGACCTGGGGTCTTTCTGTGCGGAGTTGGCATGTTCTCCTCGTACTTGCGTGGGTTTTCTCCAGGTACTCCGGTTTCCCCCACCCCCCAAA